GGCCAAGGCCTTTAGGTTGTTTAAGTAGGTTGGGTGACAGATCGGCAATAGGAGTACTCCGGGATATAAACCAGGGAAATTGCACGTGAAGTCTCTCAATCCTTGACTATTGCTAATGAGATTTAGAAAGTCCCAAGCTGGTTTTTAATAGCAACTTAGCATTCCATCCAGCGGTGAAACAGGACTTTCACGAAGAGTATTCAAAGTTTAATATATATATTTAAAAAATAATTTTTACATATATACACCGTATAATTTTCTATATAGCATAGTATAATTTTTCGATAAAGGGTCACCCTATGTGGCTACATGACCACTCATTCTATGGTCAACCAGATCACAATAGATGTCTTTTTATAAAGATAGGTCATCACTTGGCATAACTCCTCTGTGCTCCATTCTTGAAATTATGCACATCGATCGATACGTACAAGAAATGCACATAGACATACACGAACCGTTTAATGTTCCATCTTTTGATCAATGTAGTTAATCACTTTTTTTATGATTGTGCAAGTATATAAATATTAAACATTTTAGTTTGGATTTTGAATACATTCATTAGTTATTGGTTTCATGTAAGTAGCACTTTCTCTTATTGCACCATCTTACTCGAATTATTGCTACATTACTTGCCTTAGCTAATTGGAGATAGTTGCAGATAGGATGAAGGACAAGTTGCCTGAGGCTATACAGATGATATTCAATATTACATGCGATTTCAACCCAGAGAAAGAGACAACGATTTCCCGTTAAGGTATAAGATTATTTTCTTTGTTTTTCTTTATAAGCTTTGTTCTATGTCTTTGGGTTTTAAAACTTATAATATACATTAAAGGAAACTTTTTTTTGGAACTAAAACATGCTTGGACACCACTAAGCTGTGGATGAACCATGAGTTGTGCAACATTATGGATATAGAATACTGAATAAAAAACACGTTCTTGCCACTGTTTGAAAATTTCAATGTTTGACACATTACAAATGTGACTAATTGGCATATGTCAGCAGTCCAGTGGCGAAGCCATAAAATTCAATAAGGGTGTTCAAAATATGAACACTCTTTGTCAGTAAGCTATACAAGGGTGCTCAAAGTCTATTTCTTGATTAACAACACGTAATATTTATCCTATACACAGTATAATTTTTCGGCGAAGGGTGTTCAGTTGACCACCCTTGACCACACATAGCTTCGTCCCCGGTCAGGACAACTGGAACCGGAGCTGAGGTAGTATCCACATAATGGGTAGCACAGGCTATAGTTTCAAGTGCATGTGTTTTTTGCTGTAGTTTCTTAGATAGTAAGAAAAGTGGGCGAAAAAAGAGCAAATACACGAAGAGCTTAAGTCGTGCAGGTACATACTATCCTAAGAGATGAGTGAACGAATCGAAAATTAGACGAAGGGAGAAAGGAGAGTTTTAGACTTTGGGCTATGAATGAAGAGAGAATCTTCAATTTCTTGCTTCAAAGTTTCGCATATTCTTCTTATGAGGTGTTCGGATGCCGCTCTGGGAGGAATTGTGAGAAAACCATAACTTGATTTTTAGTAGAATGAGAGGGGAGGAATGAGAGTCCATAACAATCAAGAACATGGTAGAAGACGATTCTTCTACTAACATCTTCTCACTCCAAATGTTAAGACTGAAACACTAGTCAAAATTATCAAATACCTCAAGAAGCATGCAGAGGTCTCGAGTTCAAACGAAGAACAAGTAGTCAAAAACTACGATAAGGAATTAGTGGAAACCAGTAGCTTAGTATCAATCTTTAAAATTGTATTGGCTGCAAATTACCTTGAAATTAAAAGTTTGCTTGAGCTTTGTACACATGCAGTTGCTGATAGGATCAAGAACAAGTCGCCTAAGGCTACACGTAAGATATTTATCACATGTGATTTCACCCCCAGTGGAACAGGCAACTCAAGACTTCTCTTTAGAGTTTCTATTTTAGGACATTTTGTTTTTCTTCATTATGTTTACTGTCCTACGAAGTTTATTTGGGGTTTAAATATGGATGTTAATTATACACTTCTTGAATTTTAAACAATGATTGCAACTTATATTATTAATTAATACCTTTTCATATTAGTCATTGGTATATTTCTTTACCCAGGCCGAGTAAACTTTTCTTGGAATTGAAACTTGCATGATCGCTGATGACGTCTTATTATTTATTTTTTTCTTTTTAAAGATAGTGTGCAGTAACTGTGGAAATATATATAGCTAATGAAAACACGGCAAGAACGACGTAGAATATTGATCCCTCGTGGCTGTCCACTGATCTCTTTTTTTTTTTTTTTTTTTTTTTGGTGGTTTGGTCTAGGCCAAGTGTTAAAACAGTTTTTACAGCTTGGATATTCCACTTTTATATCGATTAATGTTCGGAGGAATATAGATAGAACAAAACAAATAAATCCACCGTCTTGTTCTTACATTGCTCAAAAGAACCATAGTACAGATAACAGAACACTCCAATCTCGGAAATAGGACTGCTGCCACTCGAGGCACACAGAGGGCGTTCTAACCCTACACCTCAATAAAGATAACACAGTTGTGTTCGTAAAAACCAACAACAACCACCACATAGTAAAATCTCACAAGTAGGGTCCAAGGAGGGTAAAGTATGCAGACTTTACCCCTACCCCGGAGGAATAGAGAGGCAGTTTCCGAAAGACCCTCGGCTCAAGAAGACGAAAATAGACATTAGATCCGTAACAGTAACAGAAGCCAGCATCGTTGTCGTACAAACCAGTGCAGACAAAATGTTGACAAATCGCAACGAGAGAAATATCTTAGGAAAGGTAAGTCCACTCAGTCGTCTCATGTCACATATAATTCAGCAGTAAAAACTATGCATCCCTATCAAGCAAGCAGCAGAGATTTCCCAGAGATGATCGATCAAATATAACTTAGCGAGTCATCCCAATTTCTCCACAAATGTTTCTGTCAATGTGCTTCCATTGATAATATTTGTAGTTGCTACAATAATGTCATATGCCATCCCTTCCTGTAACAGCATAACTAGCATTAGCACAAAGGGAATTCATTGAAGAGGTTGAGAATGATAAATAAGAGGAAGCATGGGATCAGCAATGAGACCAAGTGACTGATTGAAATGAATGCAGTTATTACAGCATTTAGAATTGGAGCACTGGTCAAAAATCTTGCCTTGAATATCAGAATACTCTAAATTTACCCTTTTTCATTTTTTGGTTTCTTATTCATAGCATGTTTCCAAAGTGAGCAATCTACAATACCATCTGAGATACTTTGAATACGATAATCAATTTACATGATTACAACTTATCAGACTGACCTGGCCGCTCAGGAAACGAAGAGCAGAGATCTCTGCAGATGTCACTCCGCCAATGAAAACAACAAGAACCAAAGAACGCCTTCCATCAACAACTCTGGAACATCATCAATCGTATTAGATGGTTTAATACTGGCCAGAGATGATAAAAGAAATTTTCAGCTTGATGCTTGCATGAATTAGCATAATGAAATATAAGGTCCAGCAACATTTCAAATGCTTCCTCAATCAAATAAAGATAAGAGCAAAGACAGAATACAATAAGGTGCAGCAAATGCAACAAAACAACATGACATAGGCAGCCATCACTTGGGTATCCATCTCTGCGTATATCATCCCATTCGTGGTACAGCCATAAAATTTCCACTTAGAGCAAGCCCTGTCGGAGACTTTGCAGACAACTGATTTCCAGGTAGCTTGAACCTATACAGTTATATTTCCCGAACAAGACCACAGCACCAGGTCCCATCTTCATTTCCTTATTTCATTCTCATCTCAATTCAAACATGATTTACACGACCTCTTGTCAATATCACCCCTAAAGTTCACAACCAAACATATCTCTCCACTTATGTGCTTTTTCGGTCTGATCACATCATCACACTATCCAGGTCCCACCTTCATTTACCTCGCTTCAATTTCATCCAATTAGAAAACATTATTCATACTATCTCTTATCAATATAACCTTAAGTTTACAACCAAACAGAGTTCTCTCCACTTATTGGCTTTTCTGAGCTAACTTATGATGGTAAGCATGCATCTACAAACTTCATATACTTTATTGTCAGTTTTTTATAAGCCAGGGAATGTTACAGAGCCAGTAAGTGGATGCTCTTTAATACATACTTGTCCGAGCCATGCAAAGACCCGTTTAATGTGTCCAATGACGGACTGCTGGAAAATCCACCCTGTAGAGAAACAAGCAAAAACAACAGATTAAGAGTTGTATGCCATGATAAGATGATCAAAAGATGGAAAAATCCATGAAAGCAAATAATATAAACAGAAAGCTAAAGTTTACCCTCTTAATATCTGAGTGTGGACCCGGCAGCAGCTTCAATATTTCTTCAATCGGCCGCCTGAATATAAAATTTTCCAGATGTCATAAATAGTGGGACTGAGATTAAAAAATTAGCTCTCGGCTCCAAACTACATTTGTTGAGATTGGGAAGTTATCCACCCACATGGGGGACAGTGGAGGAAGGAAATCAATTACTGAAACAATGGTAAGATTTCTAACTGCAAAGAGGAATTAGTGAACTTTTCTTGCAGAAGACTTAATTCCATGACAACTTATCAATGTAATGAAGGCCAACTCTAGGTTTATATATAGATTAGAAGTATCTTCTTCCAGTAAATCACAAGGAGGTCTAATCAAAATCATCAAAGCAGCCAGATTCACAATCAAACCACAGTTTATTTGAATTAGGAATGTTCCGATAGGCGACATAGCACAGCAAATCTCTTAAGAACAAAAACTCACCACCCAGATCGAATTGCATGTTGAACCAGGCGAATACTGAGAGGTGCATACCCAGAGAAGACATAGGAGATATCATTGGGACTGTATTTGTCAGAGATCAAATTTAAAGTTAACAATGATAGCAATGGTAAGGTAGTGATGATAATGACAGCTGTGCAAGAACCTGTTTTAAATACATAGCCATATTGTTCAAGTTTCAAGGGAGGGAAGCGAGATGAATTTTTTATCAAGCTCAAAAAAATATCATACTTAGCGGTATCAATATCCTCCACTATGAGCTGCAGAGCACGCTTAATTGTTATCCAATTGCTTTTAGTCTCCTGCAATGATGAGCAAGTTAATAGAGAGAACAATGCTGATAAATTTAACAAGCATTATAGTTGATGAAAACTCATGAATGAACCTGTTTCTTAAGCAATCCAGACTTCTCCAAATTATTCAAGGTTGCTATATGCTCAAAACCATAGCTGTGAAGCAGTTCTCGCCTAATCAAAAGAGATGAAGTTGAAGATATCAGTTAGAGGTTCACGTGGTGATACCTAAAACATGGAAGCCATGTCAAGCATAAATAAAACAGCTATTGGTAGAGTTGACTCGCCTCAAATAGTCAAAATTTTTCTTGGGCAACCCTGAATTTGTTATTGAGAACAGGACAAGAAGACGTAGAACATTGATAAGTGGCTCTTGCTTATGGATCATCTCCTCAATGTACTCAAAGCATCTGCATTTACCCAGTGACCCAAAAGTAAACAAATAGAAAATGAAGACAATCACCCCAGAAGAAAGGAAAATGGTAGAACACAACCAAGACCCCCTCCCACCCCCTCTCTCGCACCTCCAGCCCATATATCACCTCTTTCTGCTCACCCTTTCCTCCAATTGTCTACAATTGCTTGAAAAGCAACCCGACAATGAAATCAAAAATTAAAAGAATTTAATAGTAACAGTAATGTTCTGATTAATTCTGTAAATGGCAAGAAAACTGTTGATTTAAGTACAAGACTAGTTGATAGTATTGCAGGCATTTTTCTCTTAGTTAGTGTGGAGACTGGCATTTTTGAGAAGGATATCTTCATTTTCTTTAGGTTGTTTCAGAATGGACTGGCCAAGAATGCTATGCATCTTCTGACTGAATAAGCATTTTCCTTACCACACAATAAAAAGAAAAAAAAAGAGAGAGAGAATAAAGGAAGAGTGAGAAATGAAGGACACCCTTGTTCACAAGCACAAATAATCTACTACATGGCAATGCAAAGAATTTGTTCTAGGAACAAAAACTGGACTTGAATTTACAATTGTCCAATATTTGAAGCCAAGCACTCCATGTAACAGAGCTTCCGAGTACCCATTGAATATTATAACAGAGAACTGAAAGGTTGAAATGGTATAAGACTACCAGAGTAAATACAAATAGCAGAATGAAAAGTTCAACTTTACTCACATATCATAGCTTTCAGCCTCAACAAGAGTTTGCTCCATGTCAAGTCGGCCAAGGAATGAAGGTTTGGATGTAAATGTAGTTAAATGCTGAGCAAGATTTATGTGTCTCTGGAACAGAAAACCAATAGTATTATAACACTGCTAATGTCATTAAAGTTGTTGTATAATCAAACAGTAGAAAAGAACTCTTACAGTCATTTCTGGCAATGAGTTCAGCTTTTTGACAAAATCCTTCAATTCGGAGACTGTCTGGGTCTACATGTAATACACAACGTAACACAAAAGTCAATTATTGAACAAGCACCTAAGGCCTTTAGGAGTTAAACGGAAATGAATCACTAGATTTCAGTTTCTTTTTTTCTTTTTCAGGAACCACAAATTAAGCATCTCACTGAGGTGGTCTAGAATTATATATATTTTGTTCCAGACTGCTATTCTATTTTATTGCACAAGCAAAAGATGATCAGATAACTACTACAAAAGTCAAATCATGTAGCAAGGGCAAGGCTAAGATATGCACTTGTAAGATCACTGACTAACCGTAGTCTGCATCTCTGAGTAATCTTGCTTCATGGAAGTTGCTTTTTGACGTAGAACCTGCAATTGTACTGCAAATGACAATTAAAGAAACAGAAGACCAAGGAAAGAAGATGTGCGAGTTGACTGTTATGATAGAGCATGATAGATTGATAGGTATGCTGAAGACGCCTAGAATTTGTTAAAACATAGAAGATGGTGAGAAAATAAATCAACCTGGACAACAACTTCAAAGTTCTGGTCCCGTATCTCTTTGAACAACTTGTCACTACAAAGGCAATGAATTGATATTTCAAACAGAGAAATAAAATGGCTAAGGCACGGAGAGAAAGTCAAAATAAGACAACTCTTTTTTTCTTTTAAAAAGAGACAAAAAATAGTAGATATATATTTCCCAGTGGTCACATCTGACTATACTTATTGGCATGACAAAGACCTGGAATCCATATGAGAGAATACCATATAACAGAAGAAATTGCATGCATGAGAATCAAGGGCATTATCATGTAGCACATAAAAAAAGCATGAGGTATATCACTAGGAAATCACACAAGAATTTATTGTGCTCTGCACTTCGCACACTCCTTGTATACAAGAGTCTCTCATTTACATCAATAAAATTACTGCACTTTCCCCCCCCCCCCCCCCCCAAAAAAAGTATAACATTCTTTTTTTTTAATGAAACTAGCTTACCTTGAATTAAGGGGAACCTTTATCTTCTTGCCTTCTTGCTGGACACCCATAATAGATGCATCTAGTTCCACAGCACCATTATTGATACCAAGAAACTGCATGAAGCCTATTAGAGATAGCTTTTAAAATTCTCACAGCATATAGTCTGTTTATTGTTCTATAAGCAGCAGACATATTATACAACCATGAACTGCTGCCTAAACGGTTTCATAAAGATATAGATCCATAGCAATCCTAAGAACATCACTTTTACCTCATCCAGCAGCCCTTCATATGTTAACTGCGAACACATTGGAGTGATCATATCCACCTGCACAATTCCAGGAAAGTCTTACAACCACAGTGACAAATGGACATAAAGGCCAAAAGAATATTGTCCAAACAACTCAAGATACACTAACTATAGTATTTCCACAACTATGAAGGTTCAAAAAAATAAATAAAACTCAAGCGCCAGAGCACTTAACTGACCGTGAGGATCAGACAAAAGGAGTAAAACTTTATGAACTAGCAACATTAGACCTGAAGAATGCTCAACTATTTGTACACTAGACAAATAAAAGAGAATATTTTTTTCCAATACTTAAATCCTGAAGTTTCAGGCTTTAGCCAGAGTCAGAATTCAGAAATAAAAAAGTTCCACAATTTTCCACTCAAGCAAGCTGAAAGAGTATGATAAGATGTTCCCCTTCAAAGCATTTTTCATCTTCAAAGGAGAAAATTGAGTTCATGAATCAACGGATCAATGCAAGAAAAGGTATCAATTTAAAAGATTTCCTTCATCACCTCATGCTTTGAACTGTGTCATTAGAGCAGACCAACTACTTTTGGACATGATACCATTGAGAAAAGCCAATCCCCTTTCCTCTCACCTTTTTTTTATGAGAAAACTCAGTCTCACTCTCTCATTATCCTACTCAATAGAATGGCAATAACCACCTACTCTAAACTAGCCTGAACCTTCAGAAGAATTCTATAATGAAGCCTTCTCTTTACCAAATAACTGATGAAGCCACACGGTAATACTTTTTATAACTGCATTAAATGCATATACTGAGAGAGGAGGAGCGGGAGTGCCGAGGGGAAAACAAAAAATACGTGGTACCTCTCTGTCCAAGAGGATGATAGTATTTATTTCAGGCACACCCATCTGCAGTGAAAGAACGAATTGGTATTATTTTGTGACAATGCATGGTGCCCATTAAATTTTTATGTATGATATTGATCTAGTAGATTTAAGATTTTGAGTTACCTCAGATGTGTTCACAGGTTCTTCCAACTGCATCCGATTCAAAATGTCAGCAACACGAACTGATGCTTTCCCTTTGGCCCTCACATTTGGAATCACTCCAAAGGAAAACTACATTTCTCAGAAAACAAAAGGCTGTTAGCTAATGTTTATGCTGAACCTACTTTGCCCAAAAACAATGAAACCGATTCCAATAGTAGTTAGTTCTATCGAGTAAACATAAAAAGTACCTCGAGTTTGTGGAGAGCTTTTGCTATGTGCCACAGGGAGGTAGTGTCCCCATCAACTAGGTACTCCTGTCATATAAATGTAACTATTTTTACATATGCCAATCTTTAGAAAAGTACATAACCTTTTCCTTGAATCAATGCGAGGAACAGACGTACTTTGTGAGCAACATCAAGTTCAAATGATAATACATCCTCATCCAGTGGAATAAGATAAAGGGGATACTCCCCTATAGTCAACAGGTGATGAACTTTTTCTTCCTCAAGTATCTGTCAAAAATTATATGCAATTGTTAATGAGAAATACATGCCAAACTAAATTCTTAAAGAAGTTTATTAAGATTTTTTCAAAAAAAGGCTAACCTTCTCACATACAACTGCACGACGAGGGACAAAATAAACAAAATACTCCCTTTGAATCCCTTTAGAAATATCATTATGGATGTGAGAGCAAATGAACTTCATCAATTCAAGCTGAGCTCGGACTAGATAAACTACTTTCGTGCAATCAGTTTGAACTGGTTCCGCATTAAGATGCCTCAATTCAGCTCCATGCTCCTGTTTACAAGTGTGAAAACACACAAAAACATAATAATTAGTGCGGAAAAAAAAAAACACAATCAACATGTTTGTTACCCAATACCACAAAATAACTGTTCTCTTTAACTCAATATTTCATTTCTTTTAGAAACTCAAAAAACTACCGAAATTTTCACCGCAGAAACTTTCTTTTGCAAAGACAGGTAACAAATACTCTTTGCAAAAACTCAAAAGAAAAATGCAGAAACTCAAAAATTCAGTTAAAAAATTAGTAAACTGAATACTCTCTCTATCCTAGTTTATGTGATAAAGTATTATTTTTTTTAAGCCGTTCCACAAAAAGAATGACAAAGACAATTAAATTCACATTTCCTACTTTACCCTTAATAGAAGCTTTTGTAACCATAATAGGGGTGTTTACGGGAAACCGACAAACCAAACCAAACTGAAAACCGACTCAAACCAAAGAAAAAATTCAACATATTTTTGGTTTTGGTTTTAATTTTAAAAACCGACAAATTTTGGTTTGGTTTTGGTTTTAAGGAAAAAATAAACGGAAAAGACCAAACCAAACCAACTATGTAAATACAAACAACAACAACAACAACAACCCAGTATATTCCCACAGGTGGGTCTGGGGAGGGTAATATGTACGCAGACCTTACCCCTACCCCGAGGGGCAGAGAGGCTGCTTCCAGGAGACCAACTATGTAAATACCTATGTAGAAAGAAATTACAATTATACACATATATGTATATTTTTATATAAAAAATTTAAAATGTCTCAGTACATATCACTCTTTTACACTCTTGGTTTGTAATCTAGTTCTTTGCCTTTATTTTCTAGTTTGATTTATTATCTATATTTAGATAAGTCCAAGAATCTATTTCATATCAAGCATAACTTATCATTAATTGAGTCCTTCAATTACTCATCACTATTCAGTTCAATTATCATCAAGATGTCTTGGTAAATGACAATTTTTCTTAAAGAATAATTGGCTTGGTAGTGTTATGCTAGAATATAATCGGTGGAATGTGTCTGACAGTGTATTTCACATACACTTCAAAAAAACCGACAAAAAAACGAAAAAACCAACAAAAACCGACTCAATTAAATTGGTTTGGTTCCAAAATTTGAAAAACCGACATAATTGGTTTGATTTTCAAGTTTTCTTTTAGGAGAAAACCAACCGAAACCGAACCATGAATCATACAAATGTTATAGAATATAATGCCACAAGTTTCAAAAGTCTTATACCCACACAAAATTATTACTCCCTCCATTCTACTTTATGTGATACACTTTATTTAGTCTATCCCAAAACAATGATACATTTCTAAACTTAAAAATAATTTAACTATAAACTTCTCACTTTACAGTTTACCCTCAATGAAAAGATTTGTTGTATACCACAAAAACAAAAACAGAGAGAGAGAGAGAGTTGCCTTGAGAAGTGAGCTCTGTACAATAAGAGAGAGTGAACCGCCAAGCTTAGGATCAATTACCAAACACTTTTTCCCCCTAATCTGCAACTCCAAACAAAAAAATCAATTAAAGTTTCAACTTTTCGGTTAAACTTTTCAAATATTAATAAAAGGGACAATTTTAAAAATCCAAATTATATAAATAAAACTCACGTTCTTCAAAATCGTAATAAGTTCTTTCAGTGATTGATCTCTGTAAGACAATTGAGAGAGAATGATCAATTGGGGATATAGATATGCATAAGCATTGAAGTACATTATGTATAAGTATCTGTACCTTAGAGATTTCAGATTTATGGGAGCGTTATCCAAATTGGGAACTTGCGCCATATTTGATTGATCGATCTCTCGAGCTTTCTTTCCTGTTGGTAAAGTGTGAGCAGACAGATGTTACGAGCACGACGATGATTGAGACATGCTTAATTCTCATCCAGTGGACTTGTGGAAATATAGTCCGAGTTGAATATGGCCTTTTAAAGTTAAAATAGCACGGTATAGCCAGTTTTCGGATTGGTCATTCAAAAATAGCCAGCGTTTACCAAGTCAATGAAAAATAGCCACTATTTTGCTGCAACAGAGACCGGTCCAGCATAATATACTGGAGTTCGGTGCACCTGTGTATGAACTCCAGCATATTATGCTGGACCGGTATACTTTGCTGGCTCCAGTATAATATACTGGAGACTGGAGCACCGGTGCTCCAAACTTCAGTATATTATGCTGGACGGTATACTTGCTGTAACTCCAATATATTATGCTGGAGTTCTAGTGTACTTATGCTGGAACTCCATCATATTATGCTGGAGTTCCAGCATACTTATCTTGGAACTACAGCATAATATGCTGGAGTTCAAGTAGTTCCAGCATAATATGCTGGCGTATTTTCCGGGTTTTGAACAGTATTTTCGCTCAGATTTATCTTGCATGAAAAGTGGCTAAATATCGATTACTTTTAAAACTGGGTTATTTTTGAACGACCAGTTGTAAATCTGGCTATTTTTGAATTTCACCCTAAAAATTGGCTATGTTTGGCTCTTAAATGGACTTTTTAGGAGTGAATCACACAAATAGCCGCTTTTTAAAAGAGATTGTTTTTCTTCATATACAATATTTGAAACTTGTTTATCAAAATTGTCCAAATTTTGTATATTACCCGCCCTAAATAAATTTTTCTTATAATTTATATACAATCCATTATTAATGCATTAAATTAGAGGATTCTTGGTTGGAAAAGGGCGTAACTGAGGGGAACGACGTCCAAATTGTCCTTCCATCTAAATAAGACTCCTTCCAATTGTGTGTTACCTATTTTAAGCCATAATTATGCAACTTCCTCTCTCTTTACCATAATTATCTATTTAAGAAAAGAATAATGTATAGTACAACAAGATACAAATTAAAAATAAAAATGCATAAAAAAATTTGATATATCTACAACAACATACATACTAAAAACAAATTTCATACAACTAATAATACAGTATGCAACTTATTTATAACTTATCTACAACTTTCCTACATCATACTTACCCAATTAAATATAACTACACCATCATACAACTTAAATACAATTTTCATACAAATTTTATACAATATGTCTTTTGTATGTAATTTGTATATATTTTGTATGTGGTGTGTTCTGCCGCTTCTTCTTCGAATTTCAATCTAAAAATCCAGCCAAATAAATCTAATCTTCACCAAATACCCTACAAATCGAGATATAAACTCCATAGAATATTCTAAATCGTTTGCAATAACACCCAATCCAAACAAATAATATTTTTTGAAAAATCCGAATTCGAAATCAAGGCTTCAAAGTTTTTTAGTGGTTGTCAATGGTGGAGAGTCTAATATCTTCAAAATTTATTGATTAATATCCATATGTTGCTAGCCCACCATCGGAACACCAACAAGAAAAAGGAAAGCCCAGAAAAGATCAAAACTCCAGACATGGAAAAATTCAGATAGATCAAAGATTAATCCCTTTCTTCGCCATCGTTAGAGAAAATATTAGCTCTAGAAGAAAAAACCTTCTAGAAAGAGAGTTGATTTCAAAGAGAGAAAGAGAAAAAAGGTATTGTGATTGTGGGATTTACTAAATTAATGGGGTACAATCAAGGGAGTCTCATTTAAAACTATTTCGTATATAATTGGTAAATTGTATACAACTATATAATTAAGTTATAACTTGATTACGGAGGGTAATTAAGTTTCATATGTAGTATACATAGGTAAAAATCCCTTTTTAAAATGACTTTTTTTAGAATTTACGTAAGTTTTTAAAACTTAACGACGGTCTAAAGTAACCTTCAGTTTGAGAATGAACTTTTAGGCGAAAAGCATGAGGTTTGATTTTCGCAGTTACAATATCAAACTATCTGGTATGAAGTAGGGATGGCAATGGGGCAGGGCGGATACGACGTGGGGCAGGTTTTATTTGATGCGGGGCGGGGCGGGGTGGGGCGATTTTACTCTTATGTGGGTGCGGAACGGGTTAAAACAGCTTTTAAAATTTTTAAAGCGGGTTGCGGGTTTAAGTTCAATGCGGGGCAGCTTTGTCTTTTTTTTTAAACAAAGCAATCACTTCAACTACAATTTTACATTCTTGTTTACTAGTAATTTAACTTTCGGTCTTTTCCTAGTAAGCATTCTTGTTTATTTATCTTGTAATTATTTTATTTTTAATCTTTTCATATTTAAAAACGATAATGGTTACTATATTAGAGTGTTCATATCGAGAAACGTAGCAGTGAAATACATTATGAACTGTTAAAAAGAATGGTTATAAAGCTTTTAAGATTTGTTTTATTTCAGCTTTATTTTGCGGGTAGTAATTAAATATTCCTAATTAAGGATGAACGCAAAATTGAAAAGGAATGTATTATGCATATAGCAACTGACTGATTAGATGAAAGAATCTTGTCTCTCTTATTTCATGGGCAGTGCGTGGCTTAGCTTTATACATTTGAAAAATTATGTTACTACTAATGAGATTAATTGGTACGAGCATGTAATTTCACACTACGACTAAGAGAAAAACATAACTCCTTGAATAATATTACTCTCCATTTTATAAAATAATAAAATATCAAACTAGTTTGTTTTAGAAAATAATTAAGTGGGGCAGGTCGAGGCGGGTTGAAAACTGAAAAAATAGCTATACGGGGCCGGGGCGAGACATGCTGAAATTTTTGTAGGTTTCGCCACCCCCCCTCCCGGCCATCGGCGTTGGCAATTCAAAATTTTAGACTACAAGGTCTAAAAGGAGAGGGAGGAAGAAGAGAGAGAAACGATCTATAGTTTACTAAAGTTGACTAAACATTAAGTTTTTAAAAATAAAATATGCTTTAAACAGTGCTCTCAAAATTAGCTACATGTTGCCATTTTTACTTTTTCAGCAAGAGCATAAGGGTCTTTCCAGAAAATAAAAACAAAAAATAAACTAAGGTGAGGAGTTCGTACCAGGGGCGGCTCGACATAATATGGGGCCTAAGGCGAAAATAAAAGTGAGGCCTTAAATTTTTTTAATTTTTTTTTCTCTTATAATTTATCGAAATCTAAAGAAGGTGTAATTGGTTTTAATTATTGGCAGTGTCTAACCAATTTGTTTAATCTCTCTTGTGTTATCATGTTGAACTTTATTGATTTAGTCTTGAAAAACTTTTTCAAGCGAGGCAACTGATATAGAAATTGTTAATGGTAATTGAATAAACACTTTTTACCTGATTGAGTTTGCCAATTAGAGTATTCTTCTACTTATACAGTTTCTCTTAGCACTTTTAATTCTAAATATAAGTTGAAACAAATAATACTATAGTAACTACTATGTTTCAAGAGTCATTCAATGTTAATGACGTATTTTAATAGTTACTTATCAAAGTTGCTTGAAGAATGTCTACAAAGGCACTCAAAGAATTAAGAAAAATTGTTCTAAACTAACATTGTAAGAAGATCGATTTAAGCTGGGACGAATTAAAGACAGGAAACAACTAGTAACTACAATTTAAGATGTGTAAAACTTTTAGCTATAACTATTTTAATCAAATGATTTAAAAATTCTATCAATAGTGCATAATTATTAAATATTATATATATTATTTATCGATTTTGGGGCCCTAAGTATTTTGGTGGCCTAAGGCCATTGCCTTAGTGGCCTTAGGCTCCAGCCGGCCCTGGCCTTGAAGTCCTGAGCAAGCTTAAGTAGCATATGCAGCATTATTTACCTTAAAATAAATGTAAAGTAAAAACTAGGTCCTGCTTTTTTTCCACTAAAATTACCAGTTCCTTATTTTTTTATTGTGAAATATCAACTTCAATCGGATGTAGAAATAATAAATTATTAAGGTTTCCTATTGCTCGGTGAGAAATGTGATGCGTTTTGTAAATATATGCAAGTAATTTCAATTTATTGCACCATGAGGGTGCTAATTCCTGTTCGGTGAGAAATTATCTTATGACGGACTCCAGAAAGTAGATTATGTTTATTTGAACTTTCCAATTCTTCAGCCAGAGACCTAACTGCTTAAAAAAGTACCCGGGATTAAAGAAGTGATTGGAACTTCATGAGTCCTGGTTAAGGAGATAGGGATTACCATCCTCTTGTTGCCAATTACTAGGATTATTAACTAAATTCCTAACTAACAAGGAATGTGAGTATTGAAATAAACAAAGTTTTGAATGCTTCCCAATTTCCATTTTGGAATTATGTAAGTCAAGGAAAAATGTAAAACTGAAGTTGCTTACCAAGAAAATAAAAGAAGATTATTGATCTCACATTATAGCAAAGAATTATAACGACTCTTATTACGAAGTTAACTTATCTTCTTTTGTTTACAAAATCATTCCTGTTAGTGGTTTTTGCTGGAAGGTACCTATGGAGAAGGATATTCCAAATAACTGTGGATTTAAAGGTGACTAGAGAGAGGACATTGTCCAGAGAACTGTTACGTTACAACAACAACAACTACGCCTCAACCCAAAACTATTTGCAGTCGCTATGTGACTTCTCTGTATCCATTCCACTCCACTTGGGTCCGTCTCATCTCACTACTCAAAATTTGACTTTAAGGACAAACTAGGATATCTCTTAAATTAGGGATTATCTAAATCTCACATCTATCCTATAGTGTCAAACAGTCACTAATATAGCTAAAATACATGTGTTAAACACTAGACCTAGTGTAAGAGCCTTAATCCCCACTGGTTTATCATCTTATGGATACTTTTCTTCCATTGTATTCTGTTCTTCGTTGTTTTCACAAGAATTCTAGATAACGGTAAAGTTACTTTATTCATATTCGTACTTGAAAATCAAGCTCATACTAACACTTTCCTACTTGATTCTCTAACGGTGTGTTCACTGGTTAATCTTGGAGTTAGCAGTGCAAAATGTCAATGCAGAGTGAATTGACATTTTACTAACACTGCTTGCACTTAAACCAGATTTTGTTTTCTATCAGAAGTCCAACACAAACACATACTAAATGATGCTGTAACTATTTTCTGATGATTGAAATTGCCATCCCTTACATATGTTTTTGCTGATATCATGACTTCAATACAATGTTGCAAGCAGTGGCGGGGCCACATAGCTCCAAGGGGCGTGTATATACTATGTGTTGAACTCCCTCAACTTCTTCGTATATTTACTTCTTCAAATTTTGACACCCCTTAATAAAAATCATGGCTCTGCTATTGTTTGCAAATATCAAACTACTAATGCCCTCAATAACTTTTGATCAATCAATCAATCAATCATTTATGCGTTGGTCCTAAACAATTAGGATAAACCATACGAAATATAACTACCAATCAATCAATCAACTATTGCTCAGTCTGGAGCAATTATATGAATCACCAGATATATTACAAATTACCACTGGTCTGAATGAAGAAAAAAATGTAAAACTAGAACTTACAAACTACCAAATTTTAATCCAATCCCAGTCACTGAAATGACTAGGTAAAAGCCCAAAAGACCAACATAAAAAAAAAAGGGAAAAACTAACTCTATGATAGGATAGAAACCATATTGGCAAAGAGGAAAAGTAACAATTTATAAATCACAAAACACACACACACATATATATTTATATAGTATATATTTAGAGAGACAGAGAGAGAATGTACCAGTTAAACCAGCAAGTCAAGGCAATGGGCAATGAATGTATGTGTGTGTTTCTCTCTGCGTGTGTGTGTGTGTGTGTGGAGAGAGAGAGAGTGACAAAGAGCGAGATATAGGGGTAACGGAGAAGAAGATCGCCGGAGAAGAGATCGACGGAGGTGGAGTTGAGAAACTGCGAGGCACAATTAGGAATACGGTGTCGTAAGGGTTAGGTTCTTTAAAATTTATTTTTAGCCTTATAGCAATTGGGGTTTGACAAAGTGTCGATAAGGTTTTGTTTGGATGTACATAGATTACACAACTCCTTGTTTGGAAGGAGGGAACAGGGGAAAATGTAACAATCTTTTATCATTAATTTCATAAAGGACGATTTCTTCTAAATCCTGACATATGTAATTTAATAGTTATTGTCACAAAAAAGTAATTTTAGATTATTATAGACTTAGCACATAAGAGTGTTTTTTGAGAGAGCATCCTTCAAAGAGATATGAAAAATGATTCGTTTTACTGCTAAATTTATTCCGAGCAACTAGTTTCAGATTACATTTTCTGATTCGTTCACCGTTGGATCAAGCTGAAATTTCGACTGAGTATTCCTAACATCTTTTTATTTGAGTGATGGAGATCGAATTTGGAGGCCTGTAGAGCCTTGAATAGTAGTCTATTTTTTTGTGATTTCTCCTCTTTCTTCAATTGATTTGTTATTGCTCTTGTTGCTCCTATGTTTGCTACTTATTGTGTAGCTAATTTCGAAAATTATTGTAACTCTATTATTGTTATATTGTAGCCTTGTAGGTCTTTGATCCTGTAGTTTTATCTTTGTTTTCAAGGATTTTTCTTCTTTATCTTCTCTATTTTCAAGTTTGCCTCTTTTCTCGACATAACATTGACTTTTATCCCAATTAAATTTATAAGGCGAAATCAGTTTATGAATGCATTGATCTCTCACCGCACGATACGCAGCAAATTAACTAGCGGTGAACAACAAAATATTCTTTGGCTTGCATAGAACTTCTGTTAGAGATATACATTTTTTTAAAAATTAATATTAAAGTGTAATCTTTCATCCTTCTTAGTGGTTATAAAAACTAGAAAGTGGTCATAATATTTTTATTACCACTAATTCATGTGCTCCCCTGATCTAAATTTTATTTCTTTCAATCATTTACTTATTATCCACCTAATTATTTCTGACTAAATAATCCACAACTCATATTAACACATGTTTATTACCATACTAACGTCTTGTTTACAACATAAAAGAAATCCTACACCTATAAATAAAAGTCTTTATTCCATGAGTGATGTACGAAAAATATTAGTGTGCATGTAAAATTAAGGTTATGTTATAAAAAATTGAAAGTCGTGAAAATAAAATAAAAATCTAAATATCCAACTTATTTACTACAAAAAGACAACTTTATTTTATTGAGGAAAGATGTTCTTTTTAATAAAATTTGTTCAAATGACACGATGTTATAAGGTTGTTGTATCACTAGGCACAAACATGAAGAAAACTTGCTAGTATGGCAAGAGTCGCTCAAGGAAATAGAGTTCTTAGCCTAGTACATAAATAAAGAAGATAGTTCCGCTTCATTTTTATTTTATTTACACTTATTTTATCTTGTCTCAGTTCATTATGTTAGGTTTTACGGTAAAAAAATTCAACTCTTCTCATCATTTTGATTATTTCTTACAGTATTATCTGTATAAGTTTAATATATCGTCTAGAAAGCAAAAATAAAGTTTCAACTTGTCAAGTTAAGTGGTTAATGTAAATAGTTATATACATATAAACTTCACACATAAAAAATTCAGAGATATACTTCACGTGTAATATTCTTGTGTGTTGTCAATTTTAATCTTAAAATAATCTCGTTATTTAATTTAAAATTGTCCATGTTAAATTGTGTCTTTTCTCCTTTGTTTTTTTTTCACCTTCTTTATACCTCCAAAATACATCAATATTTCAAATCAATAACTCTATCTTTATACAAGTAGGCAGTCATATTCATTGTTAATATTTTTTTAGCTATATATATAAATTATACATTAATTATATATGAATATATATATATATATTAAATATAAATTATACCTATTTTTAATTTAAGCGATTGAGGTTACGACTAATATTAATTCTTCTTTTCTTTATTCTTCATTTGGTTCGGACCAAGAATCGAAAAACCGGAACCCAGCTCGCCTGACCCGAATATATTAGAAATCTGATCACCCGTTCTCCAGATTGAGCCTTTCTTCTTCCTCTCGCTAATCTGGAACAGTTGCAGAAAACACAACTGTAATGGATCAGCAAAATTCTCATCAAACTTCCCCTTATATCACTAATAGCAATCTCCTCCAATTACCAATTCATTTCCCTAACTCAAACTCTAACCCCAATTGTACTCCCAATTTCAATTCAATTCCAAACCCTAACCCCAACCCTAATCCCAATTCCAATTCAACCCCAAATCATTCTCTTCCCCTCTCTACCCCCAAGAAGAAAAGAACAAAAAGTTCCAAATTTTCGAATAAAAACCTTAATTCTGATGTTGGTAGTAGCTCAAGTGCAAGAACACAAGTTGTTTCTGATGAGATTATTAGTATAAACAAAGATTCAACTTCTGAGGCCTTAATTGCATTATCTGCTGGTTTTCCAGCTGACGTGTTAACTGATGATGAAATTGAAGCTGGGGTTGTTTCTGTAGTTGGTGGGATAGAACAGCTTAATTACATTTTAATCAGAAATCATATTATTACAAAATGGCGTGAAAATGTGTCGCATTGGGTGACAAAAGATATGTTTCTTGATGTTATACCTAAAAATTTTTATGGGTTATTGGATTCTGCTTATAACTATTTGGTATCACGTGGGTATGTTAATTTTGGGGTTGCGCCGGCCATTAAGGAGAGGATTTTAGCTGAGCCAAGTAAGGGTAGAGTGATTATTATCGGGGCAGGACTTGCTGGGTTGGCAGCTGCGAGGCAGCTGATGTCTTTTGGCTTTAAGGTTATTGTTTTGGAGGGAAGAAAGCGTGCAGGCGGAAGGGTGTATACGAAAAAGATGGAAGGAGGGAATAAGGTGGCAGCTGCTGATTTAGGAGGGAGTGTTTTGACAGGTACTCTAGGGAATCCGCTTGGTATCTTGGCACGGCAGTTATCATATACGCTTCATAAGGTGAGAGGTGAATGTCCGCTCTATCGTGCTGATGGAAAGCCAGTAGACAAGGATTTGGATCAAAAGGTGGAGGCTGCTTATAACAGGCTTTTGGATAAGGCAAGCAAGTTCAGGCAAGAAGTTTCTCAGGATGTTTCTCTTGGAGTGGCATTGGAGACTTTCCGAGAGGTTTTGGGTGATGCGGTGAATGATGAGGAGATGAGCTTGTTTAACTGGCATCTGGCGAATCTGGAATATGCAAATGCAGGTTTGCTTTCTAATCTTTCCTTGGCTTTTTGGGACCAAGATGACATCTATGATATGGGAGGGGATCACTGTTTTTTGCCCGGTGGAAATGGAAGATTAATTCAGGCACTAGCTGAAAATGTGCCTATTATTTTTGGAAAAACTGTGCATTCCATTCGTTATGGTAGTGGAGGTGTGCAAGTTGTTGCTGGGGGCCAAGTATTCGAGGGAGATATGGCATTGTGCACCGTTCCTCTCGGAGTTTTGAAGAGTGGTTCTATCAAGTTCATCCCAGAATTGCCTCAACGGAAATTGGATGCAATAAAAAGATTGGGGTTTGGATTGTTAAATAAGGTTGCAATGCTTTTCCCATGTGTGTTTTGGGACACCAATGTTGATATGTTTGGTCATGTTGTTGATGATTCTAGTAGTCGGGGAGAATTCTTTCTGTTTTTTAGCTACGCAACAGTTGCTGGTGGGCCCTTATTGTTAGCTTTAGTCGCTGGAGAAGCTGCACACAAGTTTGAGATCATGCCCCCTACTGATGCAGTGACGAAAGTTCTTCATATTTTAAGAGGTAAAAACCGTGTTCCATGGTAACTTTGCTTTCTATATACCAAAGTCTTATTCTTCTTCTCTTTTTCTTAAGGTAGTGAACAGAAAAATAAGAAAGAATTTCTTTAGGAGTGGATTCATCTTATCTTGGTCTAGAGTTAAGCTATTGAAAGAGTATTGTGCCATGACCATTTCATATTCAGTGAGTTTCATTTTGAAGCATTTATCTATTGTCTTGTTTGAGACGTGAGAAGCTCTGGAATATAAGCACCTGCATAGATAGCCATAATCTCTACTTGTATCAGTAGTATAATAAAGACGTCTTCTTGTTTTAAATATTTGGTTATATGATATTATAGAGTAATGAAAATTTTCGAAAAAATTATCTCGGTTCGAGATGACAACTTCAAGGAGTAGATGATAATGGAATTTTGACAAAGGGTGCTTATGTGTATACTGCTTTAAGAACTAGCCTTTGTTTACCTATCAACAAAAGAAAGAGCTTATAGTATTTAAAGTAGAAAAGAAAATAGATTACCCCTACATGGTAATGTTGCTTTGTTCAGCTTCCAGTCTCTCCCTAAAACAGGGGAACACTAGAGAAACATATTGGAAGAAGAGAGAAATCTTTTAGTTTTACCTCTTAATGTCGCGTCTCAACTCTATACTTGAGAGTTGATTTCATCGCCTGCCATTTTATTTTGCTGCTGAGTAGGCATACATATTTGAATATGGATCAATTTAGTAAAGACAAAACTTAGTGCCCTCTTCAAAGTTTCTGGTTCATGATGCGTAGTATCAATGTTTCTTATAGTCATGGAGCTAATCTAGTAATGAGATTTTGGGCATTATGATCAGGTATATATGAACCACAAGGAATTGAAGTCCCAGAGCCCATCCAAACTGTCTGTACAAGATGGGGTAGTGATCCGTTCAGCTTCGGTTCCTACTCAAATGTTGCAGTGGGGGCATCAGGAGATGACTATGACATTTTAGCAGAAACTGTGGGGGAAGGAAGACTTTTCTTTGCTGGTGAGGCCACTACTAGGCGCTATCCAGCCACTATGCATGGAGCATTTCTTACTGGACTTAGAGAAGCTGCAAACATGGCCCACCATGCTAGTGTTAGAACATCGCATTTGAAGGTTGAGAAAAAACCATCAAAGAATGCTTATTCTTATGCTTCTCTTCTTGAGGATTTATTTAGGGAGCCAGACTTGGAATTTGGCAGCTTTTCTGTAATATTTGCTGGAAAGCATTCTGACGATAAGTCAGCAGCAATTTTGAGGGTGACTTTTAATGGATCACAAAAGACAAATCATGATGCGACGAGGACTGAGCAACATCATTCTAATAAGTCACTTTTTCAGCAGCTTCAGTCCCATTTTAATAACCAGCAAGAGCTTCATGTTTATACCCTGTTATCCAAGAAGCAAGCCCTAGAACTCAGAGAGGTCAGAGGGGGTGATGAGGTGAGGCTGAATTTCCTCTCAGAGAAGCTTGGGGTAAAACTGGTTGGTAGAAAAGGTTTGGGATCATCTGCCGATTCGATAATTGCTTCAATTAAGGCTGAGAGGGGCAAGCGCAAACCTGGATCCAGTTATCTTACCCTTAAATCTGGTTGGTGTTCTCTCTCTCTCTCTCTCTCTCATATATATATACACACACACACACATATACATATAAATGTATATGCGTGTGTGTATGTGTAAGTCATCTTACTCTCTCTCTCTCTCTCTCTCTCTCTCTCTCTCTATGTGTGTGTGTGTGTGTGTGTGTTTGTGTGTGTGGTTCCATCTTTTCCCTTGCCATTTTCTCAACTCCCATCCCATCCCCAGCTTTTCTGTATTCACTATTCAGTTTTGTACTTTGTGTACCTCAGCGACGCTTCGTTCTTGCCTTCTTGGGTATAGAATACACTGCCTTTCTTCAATATTTTTCTTTTATTATTGTTTCATGGATAAAACCGTCTATTAGTAGCTACCTTAAGGTGCTCAAAAAATAAAAGCTACACAAGGCTTAAAAGGCTCGAAGAAGTCAATTAAAGCATTAACACCAAAAATATACAGAATATAGAATTCAATTGAACACATGACCACAACTTACTTGTAATGGGACAATGCAAGAGAGGACGTTGTTTCTGCATAAAAGTATCCTAGTTTTTGTTTCCTTCCTTATTCTGAGGTTATTAACACAACTATAGCATGCTATGATACATGCTAAACAGAAAAAGCTCTTTCTTGTTGCGAATAGAACATCAAATGATCCACCATTAACTGCTGACGAAATCCATACTGTTGCTATAACCTCTATGGTAGGCCATGAAGCAATGTAAGACTCCTTTTGGGGCAGGAAAAATTTCGGGATTGAAGAATTAGGTGTCAGACAAATATATCCTTCCAATGACCACCTAAAAATGGCTGACTATTTAAGAAATGAATCATTTTATGGCTAATGTGTGACAGTGCTGCTAAATGTTTTCCTTAAAAGCTCTGACGTTTCCATCCCTTCATACCCTTTTTTCTGTTGTAAGAGATTTTTTATTTGTAAATTTCACAGTATCTGGTTGATAAGCATAAAGTCTGCTGTCAAAAGTCTAATGCAAAATTACTGGGCTATGCAGTTGGTGGAGTTATTGGACAACCCTTTGCATGATTACTTCAAACAGAAGGACTGCTTGAATTATTTCTTTTGCTTTCGCTGGGTTCTTATACAATTCAAAAGGCAAGCAGTTTTACTCCTGATAATTTTGTGCCCTGATTGCATCCAGCATATGATGCGCTTGTGTATGACAGATTTTCTCTGCGTTCTACTTATAAACAAACTTGTACTGTTTTCATTTTTCTGTTAGACTATGCTAATGCACTTATAAGAAAAAAAGAGTTAGATTTTGCTGATGAATATGACTAATACTGTTGAAATATTTCTGACCATTGTGAGATTTTGAGATACGTGGATTAGCCAAATCCAAGACTTAATTCTCTTTTATTTCATGCTGGGAAGTATGAGCTCTCGTCTCCCTGTTGAGTGCTTACTCCCATGTTAGTATATTACGTTGTTGGTGTGGCGTGTACCTAAGTTGCTCGGACACGGGTGCAGATCTAGAGGTCGGATCCTTCTAGATGTAAATTCTAAGATTCGGGGATGCAGATCCTAATACGGATATGGGTGCAGGAATCCGGCTAAAAATAATTCAAAATAATAAAATTATAAAAATATCTATAAATTACGAGAAATTTTGTGGAATACTTACGTATAGCTTGTAAAGCGTAGATTTCTTTTTTATTCTCAAGTTGTAAATAAGTAAAGGATTGATTTCCTAGATAAGGTATGCTATTTTCTTCAAATTTACCCTAGTTTTGGTTCTATTTTCGTGAATCAGATTGTATCTCGTCTCAAATTTTTCCATCCATCATGGTCAATGCACCCAAAATTGTTTGACCAGATCTGGTACGGATCCCATACCCACACCCATACTAGTGTGGTGTCGACATGGGTGCGGCACCTAAACTGCCATGTCGGGGCAACTTAGGCGTGCACATGACAGCTTGTTCTTTTTCTCCATTGATCCTTCAACGATCCACTTGACACCTTGGGAGCTGAAGTGAATGATCCCTTCTCTTGTTCACCTGGATAACCACTTCTTCTTGGACCTTAATCATACATATAAATGTTCTATTGCACCTATTATTGTCTAGAGTTTGATCTAGTGGTAAGAGCGTAACACGTGATGTGTGGATTAGGTTCACGTCATGGGTTCAAACTCTGTTGCAGCCAAGGCCATGGTATTTAAGTGAAGAAGTGTAGAGGGGCAGACTCATTATCCACGGAGCTGTGAACCGTGCGCCAGTGACCCGGGATTTCACGATTATTAAAGAAACATGTCTAGAGGTTCAACTAACTTTATTAGATATCGTCTTCATTTAACGCCTCCCAAAAAGAAGGCCTCCATTTATGAATATTTCCCAGAACTACAAGACAATGGCATTGCTAGGTTCCTTTGTTGACTTATATAAATCCATATTTACATTTCTCTCCGAAGGAAGCACGATATGTGGTCCCTTAAAGCATAAATCTTTATGGATGTGCACCGTTTCTTCCCAGCATCCCTCTCTCTGTGGATGGGAAGAAAAGAGAAGACAAAGAGAGAAAAGAATGCTTGATTGCACATCGGCAAAAATGTTATAGTTTTAGCATGTTTTAGTAATTTGAATGTCGTTGATGCAGCTATCCTTTCTCAATTCTTGTGTTACTTTCTGTTTAGGCCGTCTTACTTCAAATTGCACTAAACGGACACTTTGATTTCATTTTAGTTGATACCTAGTCTTTTGCAGGGAATTTGACTTGGAGAAGACAATGCGGTTGTGGGAGGTCTTATGGACACATTATTTGAGTGAGCATCTACATCTGTATGTCTGTGTTGCAATTCTGAGAAGATATCGCAGTAAAATAATAGGAGAAGAGATGGATTTCGACACACTGCTGAAATTTATCAATGAGTTAAGTGGTCATATTGACCTGGATGCTACCCTCAGGGAAGCTGAGGCTTTGTTTATATGTGCCGGTGAAAATGGTGAAGCTTGCATTCCTCCTGGAACTCCACCTTCATTTCCATTTGAGGGTACTTCAATGTATTACCAACAGGACGATGATGATGTATTGTAACCGCTTCTTATGGATTCAAATATCTTAGATTTGACATATGACCTTTGTTATCAGTGTGATATTCTTTCCACAGAGTATATATGGATTCAGATAATCAGAATTAAATTTCTTTTGCTAGCACTCACTAGCTCCTCTCACCTTTTCACCATTTTTAGACCCTTACGTTGAAATCTTATTTCATGGTTCTTTAAATTGATTTTTTTTAAGTTTTGTTGCTTCACCAATGCGAATAAGAATTGAAAACCAGATAGCTATCTTTTGAATTAGGAATGCTGATAGCCAGTTCATTACTTTTCTTTCACTTGTTGGAATTGGCAGTAGTAGAGGAAGCTGATACCTAGAAAAAGGGAGATTTATCGTTTTGAACTCTTGATACATGCATAAATTGGTTTCGCAAGTAAGCTCATGCACTTTTCTAAGAGGATGAAGCACAAGCTCAGATCCGAAACCCCTAGCATGGGAGTTGTTACCTGTTTTGGCACTACTGGAAATTGTGCTCTTATGTGAAGGATGCAATAGAGTAACTACCACAAATTTCTAAAGGAATGGCTGAATCTCATTCCACGCTTCTTTGCCAGTGCTTGTAAATGCTTCAAGCAAGACAATGTCATCCAGTATGGGGATAAAAGGCTCGTCTTCAAGGAATGGCACGTTATTCATTGACAGAGGTGATAGTAAGCTGCAGTTGAAATCCTGCATTTCTTCTATCCATGAATCTAAAACTGAATTGGCCGCCACTTCTTTGTTGCTTACTGTCTCAGCAGGAATTTCTTGACTCTCTTTGCCCAGTGGGCTGCGACTGTTCGCCTCCTTGGACTTCACATGTTTCTTTTTGCCTCTACAAGACCTCTTGTTCAAATGTGTGTTCCAGAAGTTCTTTACTTCATTGTCTGTTCTTCCAGGAAGCCTACCTGCAATGAGCGACCATCTGTACGAAAGAAGATTTGAGGTAAGCAAGCGTAGCTAGAAGAATCAATTCACCATTCTTATTGTATAACAGGAAATCAGGTGCAGAGGGGAAAGCAGTGACCGGTTGCCAAGAAGCTTATGGAGTCTGATGATGAGGTCCTTTTCATCTTCTGACATCATTCCTCGCTTGATGTTTGGCCTCAGGTAATTTTTCCACCTTAGTCTGCAGCTCTTACCACTCCTCATTAAGCCTAAGACAGATATTGAAACGTTAAACTCTTTGATGTCGGCATTCTAGTAGACCATTGCCCAAATATTACAAAGTTACAATTAGCTATAGGCTAAGTGATTACGAGTATACCTGACTTCTCAGAAATGGTGGCCCAGTTTCCCTCTCCATGAGTCTCCACACAATTTTTCAATATCAAGTCCTCTTCAGGTTTCCAAAATCCTCTCTTCATTCTTGTTTTAAATTCTTTATCCATCATTGCACTTTTTCCTCTTCCTCTCTCTGTTAATTTTTTGTGTAGTAAAATAGGAAATGAGTGGTACTCAAATATATAGTTAAATAGTTGAGATTGGGGGTGTGGGGTTAGACATGTGTCTTACTCCTAAAACAATGATGATGGAATTTAAAATTCTTCACTTTTGGATTACTGTGTGTTGGATGTTATCAGATAATTGAATCGAGGGCCCTCAATGTGGATTCATATTTTGCTTTCTTTTGTACTACCTGACATTGAAAGCCCTTCTGTGTGCTCCACTTTCATCCCACTAAAAGCCATTCAAAAAAATGCTAGATCGTTTGGGTATTACCTTTTCGCAAGCCCTCCGTGGGAGGAGGGGGAACTTTTAACTTTCATTACTTTATTTCGATGTTCAATTTTTTTTTGGTGCATTTTGCATAAACCCTTCCTAATTTTATATTTGGTTCTGTAAAGGGAAAGATAATAGACTTTGAACTGTCTATTCTCATTACTTTAATGACGTGCATTACTCATTCAAGCATAGAATCATAAAGAAAAGGTAAATGACTTTCAATGTTATATGATAATTCCTTTTTAACTGGATAAAGTTGGGGTTTTCGTTCGCACATTTTAAGGTTTGTATGGCACCAAATGCGAGCGCTAAATAGTCATGGAGCATTTTGAGTATTTGCGTTAGAGTGTTGTTGTATATCTCCTTAGTCACTCCGATTCCAGTTGTTAATGTAGATTCTGAAGTCTTTTCTTATCCTATTCCTAGTCTCCAATATCCTACTAATTGTTTTTAAGACCTTCCACTTTTAAGACTTCTTGTGGGAAACAAGAAAACTCCAGCTACAATGCCTAATTGCCTACTACCATTGTTGGAAGGCGAGGAAACAATGTGACATTCTAGCAATTAAGACGTGCTGGGAATGTAATCTGAAAACTGTGAACAGTAAGGATCATATACATTTGAAAACCGTGAATAGCAGTGACTCATGTCATCGATTATTAGTTTTTTCTAATTCTATAAAAAGTTGCAAAAACACGTGTAAAAAATAGTTGAAGGGTGTCCAGGCATAATCACTCAAAAATATATTAAATAACACCAATAAATTACAAGTATTGTAGGTGTATTTTCTCTCTTAATTAGTAGAATATTTTTATTTTTGATGTAAATACTTGATACAAGAGAAGATAGATACCTTACTACTTTAATGGTCCAACTTATATTTGAGATTATTCCACCAGAAAAGTTGAGTTGATGGAACGTTCAGCAGGAAAAGTGTTTTTCCCCAACTATGCAAGAGAGTTATTTGGTATTTGTGCTGGTGGGAGATAGCAAATATTTCGTGGAACTAGTTGAGGTACACGCAAGTTGGTCATACCACGGTAATAAAAAATCAGAGTATATACGTGTTGCTCCTCATTATTGATGAAGGATGTTCAAATATATAGTCCCACAAGCACACATGTAGGTCATAGTTCTTCTCTGCAGATATAAATAATTCTTAGATGCCAGCTCAAAATCTTGAAGAGTACTGCTTCCCACTATACGAACCAAAGATTTATCCCTGGTATAATGATCTTGGAAGAAGGGAAAAACACATGGAAGAACACAGGCATGGGTCATAGGACAATTTTAAAAGGTGATCACTGACTGCCAAAAGTGAAAATGATTCAACATATCAGAGCATAATGCGCCAATCATGAAACTTAAAGCGCCTTGAACACTGTTGTCGATTGAACTCTTAGTGCCCTCTTGGGTATCATTCCACAAATTTGGATTGATGTCTCATTTGAGAATGAGACTTCCATCCAAGGCACTTTCGAACTAGTATGTAATATTGTTTATCCTTAAGAACGGATGACAATTGAATTTATACGCGGTTTTAAGGATACGTGATATAACTTGGTACAAATTTAAGAAAATAGATTAATATTGAAATTGACGATAAAAGAATAAATGCAAACCACATAAGTTGAATAGCCTTGGCCCTCGAGTTCAGTCACCCTTGAAACAAAAGATGTTTCAACTGACTTATGAACAGAGTAACAAGATAATGAAAGCTAGAAAATGACAGTATATTGTTTCGTATTGCGTGAATATGATGTCTTTTACAAAATGATCAGACCCCCTTTATATAGTAGGGGAGTCCTACTCTTGATATAGTTCTATATAAGGTAAGAAATGGCTAATTAATCGGCATCTTCCTAGTACGTGCCGAGATTTCTGCCGTGATCCTCGCCCGATTGCGGATATTTCGGCTTTCCGTTATTTGGTTCGGTAAGTTTCCCTCGATCTTGCTCGATCTCTATCTTGCTTAGTCTCGATCTTGGCTGACCTAGATCTTGATCGGTCTGTGGGTGACGAGCTCGACAATCTAACTTTGCATCATGGTTCGATATAACACGAGGTCGAATCTTGACCTATCATATTCCAGTCTCGATTAATCACATAAAGGGCAAGCCCAGTTTTGACCGTATACAGATAGTCCCCTCCTTTCTTGAGGAGAAGATGACGAGAAACGATATGAACTTTCGAGCACCGTCTCGATGGGCCATGACATAAGCGACGGATGTCACTAATACACCTGATTATGACGTAAGCAACAAATGGATATCGAAACGTCCCGTCGGTCCAGTTACCAAGGTATTATATGCCTATCAGTTGCTGGTCGGCCACCATGGGTTCTGAACCGTCACCTGCAAGCTATAAGTACTATAACCTTCCTCTATTCAAACTTTACGTTCAAAGATCCTCCTACTCTTGTTTCTTTTAAAAAATCCCTTTGCTTTGCAACTTTTGCACCCAAATTTCTTGAACTTTTAGCAAACTACATACCATCCTAATCCCCTTTTCTTCTGTTATACAATGGCGAAAACTTCTAAGACTGTACCGCAAAAGGAGTCCGCTTCTTCATCACGGCCCACCGGCGATGGAGCTGCGGCGGAATATCCCCTTGAGGATTTCGTTCCGACAGGGTGCCCTACTGTTGCTGATTTTAAGATTGAAAAGACCTCCTCGCTACTGGGTCGATGTGAACCGGTCTCGAGGTACATATGCACAATTACTGATGATCTCCTTACCAAGGTTAAAGTGGATTGCAACTGGGTCGATAAGCATGTGGTAGTACCTTCGCTCGAGGAATCGATCACTACCCACGTGGAGGGTTTCCTAAGTGTTTACACTTACCCCTTTACGTTGGGTCCCTTAGACCCTATCATCGTCGCCCTCTGCAAGAGGTACAGCGTGACCCTTGGCCAGATCTGTCCTTCCTTCTGGAGGATAGTGATTCTACTCCGATTCTTCGTAAGCAAAATCGAGGGATGTCCCTTCACCCTCGATCACCTTATGCGTCTTTACAGTCACTAACTCTATCGAGAAAGGCTGATCAAGCTTGCTCGCCGGTCCAGCAAGGCCCCTGTTCTCGAGTATAGACGAGGCTCGGGACCGAGGTTGGATGGGCCAACTTGTTCGAATAAAGACTTCGGACCTGATCCTTGTCGAATACATGCCATTTCCTAAGAAATGGAACACAAATCGTAAGTATTACTTCGCCTTGAATGTTTAATCTTGTTGTTATTCCTCTTATCTTCTTCATTATTGATGTTTTTGGTGTTGTAGTTGTGGCCCAGGTGCCGGACGTAGTTCCTAAACTCAAGGAATGGGTCAAGGGCCTGGTATCACAGAGACCATATTCCGAGTGTGCTTGGATGGAATTATCGAAGGGTCGATGGGAGGCCCGCAACCATGGTAAGTTTTCTCCTCCGATTCAATACTGTTTGATTTTCCCCTTGTACTGTTGTATTCTTATCGGCTCTGTTTTCTTTCGTAGGTCTCCCCAAAGATGTTGCCATGAGGCCTCCATCCGGTGATGAGGATGTGCCTCTCAAGTCCCCTGCTCCGAAGCAGGGAGATGAAAAGAAGAGAAAAAGTGCCCCGAGTTCCCCGAACTCAATAAAGACGAAACCAAAAAAGAGGTCGCGCAAGCCCACGAGAAGTACTGGCGTCTATCCTCAAACTCAGTCCATTGACTAAGGGATGAGTTCGAAGAAGAAGAAGAGGAAGATAAATCCAAACTGGTGGCCCGCACGGGCTGGTGTCACGGTACAAGAAGTTCTCGAATCGGCGGGTACTGAAGTTGAACCATCTCGACATGAGGAGGTCAGTGAGAGAGCTCCGGCTGAAGCTTCCGAGCCAGAAGGAGTCGAGGTCATTCTGCCCCTAGCTAGGGGGGTTGAGAGAGAGACCGGGGGCGATGCTTTTCGAGCAACAAAAAGTGCCCCAAGAGACGAGCTTGGAGCGATCAACATTAGCGGGTCCCCTCAGATTTCTGACGCCATGATTCGTGAGGCTAGTATATGAGAAAGCCATTCTTACGAGGGGCCTTAGGGGGCAACTGATATCCACTGCTTCTTGGATGGGTTCGAGTCCGCAGCTTCGGAAGACGTCACCGGGCTTGGTGACCTACCGGTGCCAAGGAAGGTACCGTCATCGGGTGTCACTGGATCTTCATCGAGCCCGAAACTGGTGGGTCGATTCCCGACCCCAAGTGTTAACCCCGACCACAGGCGGTCGATAACCTTTTCTGTCCCAGAGGATGCCTGGGTTTTTTCTGCCCCCGTGGGGGTTGCTAGCTACCTTAGATGCTTGGTGACCAAGGAATACCATGCCGTGATGAATGCGGTGGGAGCGCCTTGTCTATTTAATGAGGTCCAACATGCTTTGAATCGGGTAACTTGAGGGTTACTTCATTATTTATTTTAAACTTGAAGTTGTAAATAATCCTAACATTTTTCTTCGTGCTTGCAGGCTTCGGTATTGCATCATGAGGCTTTCCTCCGAATTCGGGAGGAACACAAGGTTGAGGTCCGAGAACTCACCGAGAAGGGGGATACACACAAGCTTCTGAGTGAGAAGCTTCGGGCCGACATAGAAGAGACTCAAAGTGAACACGTCGAGATGGCCGAGCAGGTATTTCGAGTGCTTCACAATAGTGAAGACGAATTGGAGATAGTGACTAACGATCCGATCCTGCAGGTACGATAGAAGCTCGAACAGATCGGGCAGCTCAAGGCAGAGGTAGATACGATACAAGCCGAGGCTGAAGAGCTCAAGAAAACATGGACATGTTAGCTTTGAAAAAGGAAGCTGTCCAAGAACAACTGGAGTCGGTCGAGACTCAGCTCCGGGCTGCAAAAGAGAAAGCCTCGGTGCAGGTTAAGAAAATCGAGGAGCTTCAATCCCAATTAGATTTGGCTATTTCTGATAGGGCAAACTTGGCCAATGAACTCGACGTGGCCAAATCCGAGGCGGCCGTGGCCAATACCAAAGCTGATGCTAAAGTGGCCCAATACAAGGTCGACGTCGAGGCCATCCAGACATAGGCCAAGAGCATGGTGGATCATGCAAAGTGGCAGGCTCGAAGGGAATCCCTCGAGGGATTTCATGCTCAGGGCTTCGATATACTGGCTGAAATCGAGAATGCCAAAGCAGAAGAAGCCAGGGCCCAGAAGCTGGCCTTTCCCGAGGAA